ACATGTTTATATGAACTTTTTTGATCACAAAGACCTAGGAAATCACCTCCTGCAGTTGTGCCCTAAAGTCGTGAAACACCCTCTATGTGCATTGGTTCTTAGTAGTTTCCTTTTCGTGTTGATGTATTGATTTACCAGTTTAGCTTGACTAGCTTCGATGAATTTTATTTGTCCCTCTGATGATGGTCTCTAAGGACCGAAACATGTAAGGGTTTTAAGAACTGAAGTCAGAAAAACTTCACCAGTCACACTGGACGGATTTTTTTTCATCTTTTGTAATGTTGTTAGTGTGACGGACTAGAATGAAACAAATCAAAATAATATAAGATTGGTATATTCATTTCCGAGAATCAGGCAGTATTGATGTGCAGCAAGACTTGTACAAAGTACATGAGTATATGAGTATAATGGTGAACATAATTTGTTGACTCTTACTCACATTCTTATCCTGAGAGAACCTGAAATTAGCAGCATACAGCCAAAGCTCTCAGATTACAGAGGCAATAGGTTCCTCCGAAACGTCGTCCCTTATGTACCAAGCTCCACACCGTCACATTTGAGAAGACAGCATTTTTCAAACAAATTGTATTTTTTAAGTTTTGAGTTTTTCACGGCGTTGACTATGAAGAAAGTCGTTTTCTGGGATCTGGCGCCGTGCATTCTTCGTTTTAATCGACGTTTCGGAGGAACATATCGCCTCCATCTTTGCTGCTACAACTATCTCTATTCGCACGCTACTCAACTACCCTGAAGATGGAGGCGATATGTTCCTCCGAAACGTCGGTTAAAACGAAAAATACACGGCGCCAGATCCCAGAAGACGACTTTCTTCAAATTGTATTTTGATTCTCTAAATTCCACCCAGATAATCACATATTAGTGACTCTGGTATGTCACCTTTGAGTGGTGAGCCTTTCTGCTTTTCATTCTGGAGGCCCCTTCTTCGAATCTCGGTCCTGAGATTGTTTAACCAGACTAACGCTTTCTTCCTCAATCTACCTGGAAAAAATTTCGATGATCGTTTGCCATTAGGTCCTTTAAATATTCATACACTCATTCTATTGTACTTAAGTAACAGAAGAAACGTCGCTAAATAACCAAACGACCCTTAATAAGTAACAGAGCTTATGTTGGAGTATGCGGTTAAAACCTCAGCTGGAGCACAGGATATTCTTGGATTATTAAATGATATAAATCAATATTTCCCGTTGATGCACATGGCCATCCCATCACCTCATTTCAGCCTAAAAACTTCTGAAGCTGATACAAAGCCATTAAGTAGCATAAAATCCATGTAATTTCACGTCATTTCTTCTGCGTTTCACTCTTATTTATAAGTATTAATATTCCTCAGGCTATGCTACAAGCCGAAATGTCGCGGGTTCAAGTCCCGATGAGGTCATTGGATTTTTTCAGTTTACCTAATCCTTCCAGCCGCACTAAGCCCTGGGGTTTACTCAGCCTCTAACAGAAATGAGTATCAGGAATAAATTAAATAGTTTTCGTGGGGGAGTAAGACGAGGCCGGCGCGTAAGGCTGACAACCTTAGCGCCATATTTGAGCCGACTGTCTAGATAATGTGGGACCCTCAACGTCTCACAACCCTATGGACCTTCACGGCCTGGTACAGGGATAGAAAGAAAAATATTTCTCAGCCATTGTGGAATAATTGTATTGCAACATCTTAAAACAGGGAACTGCATCATTTTTGCTCAAGTCTTCTTCCTGACTCGTTATCTCGTTGTATATAATACTATGCTACATAAAATCAGCAGTTGCTATCACGGAGTTTCCAGAGTCAGAATGTTTGACATCGAATTCCAGTTCTCTTCCTTTCAGCACGGGACGTAACATCTGCATTGATCTAAGGTCAGCACGGTGGGATGATGTGGGTTCAAGGTGTCGCAACCATCAGCCGCCTGTGAATTGTAAGCAAGGCGTAATCGTGTCACTGACAGAAGACACTGATGCTTTCCTAAGACACATCTGAGTTTGATTTTAGAGTAGAAATATTTATTTTCCCTGAGCAAGGGATATCCTTCTATGGCCTGTGTGCTATATATACCAGAAGAGATTGGGGTAACTTCAAGTATAAAATAGCTACGAGTTCTTTTTCTTCTACTTCTCCTCCTCCTCCTTATACTTTGCATTATAACCGGATTTTTGCGAATAGCAAGTATCACGTAACTTCGAACAAGGCCAAGAGTAACCTTGTAGGCGCAGAAGAAAAAATTCAGGCAAGGGAGTGGGTTCGAGGGTGTGAGAAGTGACAGGCGGCCAGTTGTGCACTGTAGAGCCACTGATGAGTGAATGAATTATTATTATTATTATTATTATTATTATTTCTTGGGAGAACTTTTTACTTAGATATAGATTCCGTCTACTTTCAATTTGCCGGATAAAACTGAAAGATTCGCACCATCGCCATGTTTACGATTACTGAATTCTGTACAATATGTCATACTCGTACACAGTTTATATTCCGATTTTAATCAGAATCACATTCATAACTCTAATGGCTAGGGACCGGATTTTTATGCCCTTATAATCCCTTAAATATGTATGCATTTATGCATGAAAAACTTCAGAAATATGCACTAAAATATGCACATAAAAATTTATACCAAATATTAAAATTGGTTTTACATTATTTTAAGACCAACAAATCAATATTTAANNNNAGTTAGTCGCCTCCTATTGTCTCCTAAGATGTACTTATAGAGGGAAAAACTTCTTTCCACCTCACAGGAACTTAGGGGCACATGTACAAAAGCCGCTATTTGCTCCACTGTTAGTGATTTTTTACTTGACAGTTCAGCACGTTTACCGGCTAAAATTTCTTCAATTTCACAAATTT